CAAATTCACAGGCCATTAGCAAGAGTGATAGAACTCTTTCCTGGGAGAGACGGGCGTACAAGACTAGTGAAATTAAAAACTTGTAAAGGATCTTTACTCAGACCTATTCGAAGGCTGTACCTGTTAGAAGTTACCGAACATTCGAATAATGGGAACATTAACTTGGAATAGACATTTTATGTTTTGAATACAGAGGCTGTTCGTACATTTTTTAGACGATTTTGGTAAGCGGTAATAAAACATCGTTTGCTGCAAAAAAAGTAATTGCAATTGTACTATGTTTTTAAAAGTCAAAATTATAGTCTGTGGCTTGAAAGTTTTGCTTTTATTCAAAATGGCGAATTTAACAAAGCAGTGGTCAAAGGCTACATTTACGCTCTTTCCGAGGAGAAATATGCATACTCCGTTATCCAAAAACGATCTGAGAGTCTTAGTTTTGTGATATCTAAAGCGTCGATAGGTAATATCATCGACAGAAAGGGAAAAAAAAATGTCAAATTAGAGCCTCAATTGGGACAAGAATTCCAAACAAGTATCCAAGGAAAAAACGGACATCTTCGACTATTGCAAAGGTACGTTGTTTAATATTAAAAGAAAATCCCCCTATTCAAAGGATAGTTGCAAAATCGTTAAAATGCTCGGTGTCCACTGTAAACAAAATGATAAACGTTGATTTAAATCTTAAGAAAGCGAAAAAACGCAATGTGCATCGTCTTCTTCCAAAGCATATCGCTCAACGCAGGACACGCTGCAGAATTCTATATGAGACACACTTATACAAAGAAAAATGGAAAACAGTTGTCACAATAGATGAAGCATAGGTGTATTTAAATGATTGTAACAAAGAAAGAGCCATTTATTATCATAAAAGGGGTAAAAAAAAATTAAGTACATGGTTCAAAGAATCGAAAGAAAGTTTTTCTAAGGGATTCATGATTGTTGCTGGTTTTTCTTATAATGGCAAGTTAAAAATAAAGAGAGTGCAAAACAATGTCAAGATTAACTCCAAATACTATCAGGAATTTTTCGCCAATTTTTCTGAATGAAATACCATCGCTTTACCCACAGTGCTATCAATCTGTGAGACTCCATCAGGACAAAGCTAGCAGTCACACATCAAAATCCATTGTAAATTTCCTAAAAGAAATGGAACAAAAAACTGGTATCAAAACCATACCCTTCACTGATATCCCTACTAAATCTCTCGATGTGTCACCTATGGATTTTTGTGCTTTCTGACTTTTAAAAACTGTCAAACGTTGTCCCAAAACCGTAACAGGACTCTGGAAAGCTGTTCGGGAGGATTGGGATAGAATAGCTCTTCTGCCACTTCAAAAGGCATTATTATCCTGGAAATTGCGGTGTCGAAAGATAGCTCAGAATAAGGGATGTCAAATAGAACATTTAAAACACAAGAATTTTATGTAATTTAGTTTTGTGAATATAATATACATTGTCTAAAAAATGTGTGAACAACCTCTGTATTTCATGTATTTTAGAAAGTTTGCATTTAATAGTTACATTTTGTTGAGTTATCTCCCGAAAGGTTCTAAAACTCAAGTGGGCAGAATGTTGCGCCACTTACGGTAAGTAAATTACTTCTGTTAATACTTTATGTGAAAAAGAGTAGCAACGCCTCAGTTTATCGCGAGACTGATTAGAACAGTAGTTTAAAATTTTTTTGGAAAGAAATGAGTTTGTAATAAAGCGATTTGTTGCAAATAATTTAAATAAAATGTTTATGTCATTAAAAGAAACTTCTTGTCTGTCAATTCAAGCCAGCCGTCTCATTTATCTGATTTAATGAGTATCTTTAGTCTAAAGTAACCGACATGGATATTATGCGTGCCTCGACGAAACTAGTATAATTCCTCGACGAAACTAGTATTATTCATTGGTAAAATAACTACGTTGACGTTTTTACTGACAATAGTCTACAAATATTTTCAATTTGTTCATTGTTTGTTTTGTTTTCTTCAATCACGAATTATAGTAATTTGATATTAATAGTTTTGTCTAAAAGCCATATGTTCTAACAGCCGTGCAACAGCAAACTTTCCCCTAAATTGTCTCTTGTTAACAAAAGACTGCATTTTGGGTTATGAAAGCTGTATACACAATAGTAAACTTCCCTGTGCTTAATCAGAATAATAGTTTAATGTATTCAGTTTCACTGCTCGTGATTACAGCTACTACAAATATTATCCTTCAAATTTCTGTTTACAGAACAGTCTTCAACACGTTTCAAATTTTACTCTCAAAATTTCGAGAAATTCTTTGCTTGCATATAAATTTTGAGGAATACGAAACTTTAAAACATCTATTATGCTTTGATAAGGTTTTAGGCTATGTTTTTGTCCGAATAAAACCTTTAAAATAAAGCTTCAAGTATATAATACCGACAGAAATGACTCATATGCGCAGCCCTGTAGTCCAAGCGTTGTAAATCTCTGGGAGTAATGACATAGTTCTGTTATTTTATAGTTAGTTATCAGTGGACTACAATAAGCGATTTTAGGATAGTAATGTAACACGGCTATGTAGATACTAATTTGAATTTCTTAGATTATTAAATGATTAAATAATTAACAATTAGAATTATTTGGTATGAATTCATTAGGATTTAGCATGATTGAAATAAACAAGTCTACTACCAGAACGCATTTTTGATTGCCGTTAATACGGTATTTTTATTATGCTGAGTGTAAAATAATTGCAATATATTTTTTCAAAGATCGCATGTGTTATATTAAATGTAAGAATGCTATTAAATCCTAATTTTATAAGAAAGGCTATATTAGCTTAGAAATTTCAGTTGAAGCGACAGAAAGGCCGGAATAAATATCTTTAAAATCTTTTAAATGTGAAATATAAATTAAAAATTCCTTGCCGTGTAGCTTTATGATGTACACCAACCATCTGACACTTATAAAACAAGACATTTTAACTACAAGTAGCAAATTTCACTAATAGTTGTGAAACTGTTATCTGGAAAATTAGAATCGTATTACATTTTCTTGCAACAAACACACTGCCAATAAATATTGTGCGAGAGATTGAAATTGATTGAAAGTGACACACCATGGGCGTCTACGAACCCACATGTCACACGTCCTCATTCGTTCCAACGGCGGTTTTCCATAAATGTTTAAGGAGGGATACTCCATTACCATTTGGTAGCCCCATACCTCCTGCCATCTGGACGGCCAATCGTATCACATATTCCTACGAGAGGGGCTGTCGAAGCTACTGCTTCCGATTCCAACACCCATTAGATCGAGAATGTAGCTCCAGCATGATGGTACACCTGCACACTTCACCTTAGAGGTGCGGAACTCTTAAGATGCAAAGTTCCCAGGACGATGGATTGGTCGAGGTGGTCCTAAGCTTGGCTACCAAGATCACCGGATCTGTCGTATTTGTACCACTTTTCTGACCATTTTCCACGTGAAAAGCCTAATCTACAAGTACCCCATCGAAACCGATATGATTCTAGTCGCCAGAATCGCTGCTGTTGCTGGCGATATTCGGGAAGTGCCTGGTGTCTTCGCAAATGTGCGTCAGGTGTAAAGCCTGCATTACAGCTGACCAAAGATCTTTTGAGCAATTTCTATGAGCATATTCTGTTAATAAAATGTTTTCAAAAGTATCTTCTCTAATTCTTGTGTTAATTCTTTAAATGTAACAGCAGAAATCTACCCTTTAACTCATCGCTTGTGTTCCGACCGTACAGTCTATGACAAATATTGCTCGTTATAGCTGCATTCTATCATCCCCTAAAGTTTTGTCCACTTGTTCAGATTCACCCTGTATTTAATCTAGATATGAACTCAAGTTCCTCTGTTTTGTATCACATATATTCGTAATATATGTGTATTAAATTTTTTTAAAGAATCGAAAAAGTTAAAATGCAAGAGATCTTCAGAATGTCCAAGAACTGAAGGACAATAAAAACAAACATGAACAGTTGAGTATAATCACAATGTGTTGGCAAAGACGTTACCCCTTTGCAAAAATAAGAATGACGTTACTTCTAAAATTAAATTAAAATTTTTATGCTCCTTTTTAGACAGGAATTTTCTTCTAATTGTATAAAGAAAAAGGCTAAAAAATAAATCATTATGTTCAAAGATTTCTGTATATTATGTGAAAAATAATGTAATTACTATATATTAACTGTTCAGTATTTACATGCTGAATACTTAGAGCTTAGTGAACAAGTTTTGCTATATAAGTTTCTCCTCAAGTTTTGACTTCCTAAGTCGAGCTGTTGCTCAGATGATTGTGTACTCATTTGGATTTCATTTGGTAAACCAGCTATATGTGAAACGCTTATGGCAAATATATGCAGAGTAAGAATTAAATTAGGACATACATTTATACTCATTAACTTGATTTTTTTGCTTGACTCTTAATTGAGTATAAAAAGTAATAGAAAATGTAAACTTGAAAAAGTATGTATTGCTATATAAATATTTTTAGCTACTATAGCGATATAATTAGTTCATCTCGTATGCATAAATTATATTACAATGAACGTTTTAGTAATAATAACTATTTTTGCAATACATAATTTAATAAAAATAAAATGATAAATCCTACTTCTATACTAATATAATGTAACTTGTTATGTTTATAAAAGTAAGTCTTATGACTACATTTTCTAATAAAACTCATTAAGAATACTGAAGTATTATAGCAACGATACAGTAACAAGTTGTTTACAAATGAGTCAAAAACACGAATTCTAAAATTTTTGCCTTTTATTATGACATGTTCGAAACGAAATCACGGATGTTTACAGTAAATCTTTGACTTGCTATTGTTGCACATAAGTACATTATTAAAATTTGAATTTATTCCAAACGTTTCAAACAGAAAATTTCCTGTAACAAGAAGGACAAAGTATCATATCCATACTGAAGTAAAATAAAAATAAATATTACATTTTAACTGCTTTCATTCTTTGCTCCGTATGGTAATTAAACAGTGTTCTATTCAAATCGTATTCGGATAGAGAAAAAGTCGATATTAAAAGCAGTTGGTGGAAAAATTTAATCAATTGCTATCATGGCTTGGTTTGGAAACTGTCTATATTTTATTGCATTGTTATATTTTACAGAGATTCTTTCCAACGTAATGTCAGAAGATAACAAGGATGCCTATGAATTCTTTTTATGTTTTAGGCGACAAATTTGTGAATGTGAAGGTATGTTTCACGTTTAAGTTTGTTATATGAAGTTCCATACCTAAGCTTTTTATAGTAAGTTCCAACCCTGATTTAATGATACTTGATTTAAGATCAACGATTAGAAGATAGCATTCATTCGTGCCGTTTTAAAACGTATAACACTGATGAAATTTTATCTTTCAAAGATAATGCAATTAGTCTTATTTTAAAGAAGCTGATTAGTTATTAAATACAAAACAAACTTAGCATCGTTAATATACACCATGTTTAAAATTGAATTATAATAATTTCTCGAATTAACAAGAATCCTTACATAGAGATTATTTCTTATATATCCTTGACTATTGTTAAGTTTGTTCTCAACGTATTAAAATTAGTATCTGTTTTATCTCCTGATTCTTTAGTATATCGTAGTAACTTATATAATTAGTATAAGGTATTTTATATAGGTATAAGTACAGGATAGAGTATGGGAGACACCAGCGGCCAACTGGGAATGCATTTCCTTACCAACTAACTCTTAAAAAATTGCGAGGCTCATAAGAGTTTACAAAGAAAGGTTGAGAAGTTTAGCAACTGAAGTTTTCCAAAGGATCTGGAGTTTACCTATTATGGTACATCGTGGAGTATACAACGAATCCAGTATTTGCTGAAAATAATGATTTAAGATATATATTACAATATAGTTTCAATACAAATTGAAATTCATGAATTAAATTGAACAGCTGTTTTGTGTAACAAAATTAACGGATAAACGTAATAAGTCAGAGATAAAGACAGATGGCCGCTGGTGTCTCTCATACTCTTTCCTGTACTTGTGCCTATATAAAATACCTTATACTAATTATATAAGTTTCTACAAAATATAATGAGATAAATATAATAAGCACTGGGAATACAATGCCATGCCACCACTTACCTTTAGTACATCAAACCTATTATTATACGAATCTGAAAATGTATTAAGTTAACTGTTACAAACGGATGCATTTCTTGCGCCAGTTCAGCTAGATATGCCTATTTCAAAAATAGTTTGTCAAAAATAAAAGACTTTTGAATCCGCCAGAACAGTTTTTCGTTTTTATGAACAAAAACCGTCATCATGCATCTACGTAACTAGCAAAAACTATTACATTAATATAATGCAGAAAAATATTTCAGATCGATTTATATATAAGTAAAAGGAATAAAAAATATTTCAGATCGTTTTATATATAAGTAAAAGGAATAAAAAATATTTCAGATCGATTTAGATATAAGTAAAAGGAATAAAAAATATTTTTAATTGACGGTACAATTTCTCGTAAAATTATCTTTTACGGGTATGGCACTAATTTGATATTCTACTCAATAATTAGTTATTAATCCTCCCTATCTAAAGAATTAAATTTTAAATAAAATTATGATGTAAAATAGGGGAAGAGAAGCTTCATAATTTCAGTTTTGACTTTCATGTTGCATTTAGCAACTGGATGTTAGATTGTGGTAAATTTTATTTTTGAAGTATATTAGTAGACATTTTCTAATGCTTTAAAATTATAAAATGTTTATTCTTTTACATAGGTGGTGTAGACAATTATAAGAGATGTTACTCAATGCTGGAAGAAAAGGTAAAAATTTTATATATTTTTTTTCAGTTCTTACCCTTAACAAATGTAAATATTTCATTTATAATGAATTTCTAAACTAAGAAGCAATGAAAAAGTTTTGAAAGGCGAAATTTATTAAAGTGAAAAAAAAATGACGCTTGCGTCAATCTTTCCTGTTTCAAATTCAAAATTATTTACTACAGTCTATTATTTAAATATAATAAATAAATGTGAATTTTACTTTACGTTCAAAATTAATAGTAAACTATTGAGCTTTAGTTTATTGAGATTACAGCAGTGCACACTACAGCTATCTGCCTAAGGGAAAGGATGCCTTCGTGAAAGCTTTTGTAATGGAAACTGTCTGGTATACACTTTACACATGAGGAAAACAACGAAAGCGCTCATGCAACCAGCCCGTTCATCTGGACTCGAAATGAGTTCAGAACTATCAATGTTCAGCGAATTTACTGCTCGGCCGCTGGTGAACCCAGTAGCTACTGAAGGGAAAACATATTCGGAGAAGTATGCTATTCAAGATCAATCATGTGCGAAAATATTCCAAAGATTTTTGGTTTGGTTCGGATTTTTTAATTACGGTAAAGCACTCGAGGGCTATCTGCCTAAGGAAAGGGGTGCCTTTCTGAAGAGCTTTCAAAAGGACACTTGTTCGTATACACGTTACACATGGGGAAAACACAGACAGAAAAAAAAAAAAAACGCCCAAGCAGCCAGCCCGTTCTTGGCTTTAGAAGCTCAGACCAAACTACCAGTGCTCAGCGACTTTACCGCTCGGCCGCTGGTGAGCCCTCGGAAGATTTTGAAATCGTATATTTTAGAAGCAGTTCTTAAATACGACAGACATGCCATTTCTATTGAATAGAGGTTGTGTTTACCCGAGTACCAACAAACTCGCGCAATAGATAGTATTTCCCCTCTACAATGACTGCGTACATGCGTGTTAAGCATTCGTCGAACAATTAAACTCAAAAATAATTTATTTATCTCATCACCCAGAACACTGCCTGAGTGCACCACAGACGAGTATTAGACATATTACACAGACGGAAGATTATTATTACACATATTTATTATATTACACATATTACACAGACGGAAGTCATATTACACATATGATGATGGAAAAAAAGATAAAAGCAAAGTTTAAGTGGGAGTCGAATTCATACCCGTTCCTAGGGCTAGCAGTCAGACCAGTTCATACCATTTCCGCTATTTTCGGCCTTGCGAATGCAACTCTATTTCGAAATTCCCAAATTAAAATGATAAAGTCTAGGAATCTAGCATCTACTGCTAAAGCTTCTCATCACGTATCTACAATAGGTGAATTTTCTCATCAGCAGTACAGGTTGAAATATCAAAAAAACGGAAACATATTTTATGTTGGAGATATTGAAACAGTAAAAATGCAAAAAGGTTGCAATATAAGATGTAGTGTGTTAATCAAAATTAACCTCATATCTTTAGTATTACTATCCGGCTTCGATTAATACGGATTATGTATAGTCCGTTTTGTATAGTTCAAAACAAACAGTATTTTAGTTTATCAAGATAAAAATAAATTCTAAATAATTAGAGCAGAGAATTATTAATTTAAAACATAAATAATCTTTTCTTTTATAATTTTTTCTTTTAATTCTGTTAAAGTCTTTTTGTGTGTGTGTGATTTAACTTTAGACAGTTGTTAATTTAGGCAATGTGATACATATTTTTTTTTCTAATGGCGAACAGGTAGGGTACAGGTTGGTTAAAAAAATAAGCTTTTATTTATTGAGAGGTCATATTGATTATATTAGTTTGCAGTACTGTTTATCTAATTCTTTTCTTCTAGATAAATTTTCGAAAAAACTTCTTAGCATAATAATTTAAATTTATTTACAATTTATACGCCAGTGTTCCAAACGCATAGTAATGTTGATATAATAAGATTTCATGCTAAGCTTTTTTTAATTTAACTACTAATTTCTGCAAACATTTACACGATTACTTTAATTGACGAGAAATATTTCTAGCACACTATAACACACTTTGATTTGGAATAATCTTTTGCACGGCAGTGAACTTAATGAAAGAAGTTTGTAATGCTAACTTATATGTTTACCAATACCTTTTATTTTCTTTGTTGGCTCTCCCATTTATTACTGTTATTCAAGTAATTAGCCTGCTTGTTAGATATTCTTTATTTGTTCTTATGATTTGTTGATATGTAATTCTATTTCTTTATTTTTATTTTCCTCTTGGCTACAATTGGCTACGAAAAGTTAAATTGTAACTCCGTAGGCAATGGGGAAAAGAAATTTTGTTTCGCGCAGCTGGACTATAGTAGGATGGGGGCAGGATTTTCATTCGCGCAGTAGGAGCCCACCCGGCAAACAGCCCGAAACATCAATACCCGAAACTCTTCTCCCCCCCCTAAAAAAGAAAAAGCTTAAAAATGGAAATCATTTCTGTATTTGATTACCTACTTAAAAGATATCAACACTTTAGTATGCTCTGTTGAAAAACTGCAGTATTTCTTGTTGTAAAACATCTGTTGGCAGTCAGATCTCATAAGCGATTGTTTATAAGCGACATGGAATTTTTATTATAAATTACCCTAATTGAATCATTAAAACCGAAAGTTTTAGTTATAAAATATTTGAAATTGCTGTTATTTTAGATATTATTTTAAATGAATAAATACGCTTATGTTCCTGTAGATGAAAGCATATCTTGTTTTAGCTTAAAATGTTCTTTTTTTCCTTTCTGTACTATGAGCGTCAGTTAAGAAGCCGCCCAGAAAGTGTAGCGGTTCGGGAAGCCGAACGCGACACAAACGGGCCCGGGGTTCGAATCCCGGAGAAGGCATGCGGTGCAAAGCTGTCTGTCCCCTTACAGGAGGCAACGGTGGCCATCGCTCCTGCTTTACTTTTGCAATTAATGTACAGGTCTAGGAATCGAAAGACCAGATTGAGCCATTAAAATCTTCAACAGCAATGAGTTTTTCCTACACTTACTAATTGTATATTTAAATTACAAGTTTGTGATGAGTAGGTTCAAGAAGGGCAAGGTCAACTTATGTTATCACCTCAACTTAAGTTTATGAATGATATTATTCTTGGTATGGCATTTTTGCTTTCTTAATTTTAATAAATGTTCAACTTTTTATGTAAATATTAGGGAAGAGATATCTGCATTTTTGTGATCAGCTGTATGTTTGAATCTCTCCCTAGCGATCATCATTAAGTGCTCTGTTTAATTATGTTATGTTATGCTCATTAAGTGCTCTGTTTAATTATGTTAATTATGTTATGCTTTGCTTAATTATGTTTTTTATAAATTATTTGCATGTTCTAAGGTGATAAAAGTAACTATGTAATTAATTAAGGTTTTCTTTGTAATTATGTAGCAGCATTATGTATTCAAGTGTTTGGAATCAGATATCAGTTTTACTGAGTATGGTGCTGTACTTTTCTTTTATGTTCACTTTAACGTACTCAAGTTTGTATTTATTACTTCTTTGCATGTACTATGAAGGTAAGTTCGTACTTGGCTACGATTTAGACTACGTAGCATCACTTAATGATCAGTTTTATGTATTATGTTCATCAGTTTTAGTTTTAGTTTTCATGTATTACGTATGCATTTTTAAGTGTTATGCATGCAGGTATTAGGGATCAGCTTTCTGTATTTCTGTTCTCAGTATCATGTTAGGTTTTCACTTGAATATTCAATTTTGTACTTATGTGTGTATTATTCCGTCTGAAAGTACCACGAAAGAAAAAGTAGATGGATGTTTCAATTTGTAAAACAACTCCAGTTAAAGTTTGCGCAAAAAACTAAATTATGCCGGAATTTGTTATCTTAGTGGTAACAGGTACACAATATTTTAAATGTTTTTACATAAGAGTCAGCCATATGGAAAATAATCTGAGCTAAATTACGTTTGGGCACTAGAATTTTTTTTAAATATTTTTTATCTTAATTTTTTTTAAGTTTACTATGTGCAATAATTTAATAGGTTACGTCTTTCCTTCATGCAAGACCAACGACTTTATAAAAGCGCAATAAATATATGACAGTTGTGTCAGGATTAGCATCCGCATGTAGACATTTAGCAAGTCCAGAAAATCCAAGGCAGTTAATTTTTCAGGGAGAGTCCTCCTTTCTTTACTTTATCTAACACAAGTTTCTATCTATTCTAACAACGATTTTTAACAGTCTTTTGACTGCTTCTTTGCTTAATTTTAAGAAGTTCCTAACAGGATACTCTTTCCCCGAAAAACTACATCTAAGCTTACATGTAGACTTTTTGACGCACTTAGCCGTTTATTCGGCTGCGTTCCCGGAGCAGAGTGGAGCAGAGAGTAGATGATTTCTGCCAGGAAGATAACACACTGTGAGGCTAAGGCCAGGTCAGTGGTCTTCCTTGGTGGCGCTTACTCACTCACCACTCCTGCTGGTCTTAGGAGGGGCCAATGACGAAAAAAAGCCAAGTGGCCGCCATTCGATTAAAAAGAAAAATATAAATGCTGCTTAAGAATCACACGGAGTACAAGTTAAATTAGCATTTAGAACTGTGATGTAAAACGGTTTACTGGGTGATAAGCTTTCGATAATTGTAATTTTTTTTACTTTTCCTGTTTGTTTACTAGACACCATTATTATTATTATTATTATTATTATTATTATTATTATTATTATTATTATTATTATTATTATTATTATTATTATTATTATTCTAGAATCATCAGTGGTTTGTGGAAGAAATCAACAAGTGCAATTTTAGCGAAATGACAAGCTACAATGATATGATAGAAATCGTCTGTTCTAGCTCTCCTGAAGAATTTGTAAGCATTTTACTGACATTTAGAAACTATCAATCAAAAATTAGTTTTTTATTATATCCTGGGATAACATGTCGTAAAAAGTCTTAGGGAAAATATTTCAAAAGAAATTTAAATAACTAGCAGATATGCAAATTAAAAAGACTGTTAAACAATGTCATGTATCTCAAAAAGGGATATAAAAATAAGTAAAAAATCTCTTTACATTATGGGTATTTTGACAAATGCACTAAAAAGTAAAAAATGAATTTTTAGCAATCATATAATTTCTTTCGCCAGTTATGACTAAGATCTAAATCGTGTAGCTTCTTTAACAGTGTCGCATTTTAAATTTGAAATGGGAAACAAATATTTAAATGAATTAAACATAACAATTCTTACTTATTTCTGTGCTATCCGTAAGCGTTCCATAATCGTTATCCTTGGGTCGTTATCAGCCGTCAGCTACTAGTATTTTTATCTGTACCAGGGTTGCCACTAAAACAAATGACAGGTGACGGGGGACGGGGACACCTAGTGTCTAACAAAGGTAAAGCAGGTATATGTCCCACACCCTCCACTATCTTAAACCGGCAGCTCCTGCCTCGGGAAAGCATTTGCTTCTCTGTGAAGTCACATGAACAAACAGGAACCTGGATGATGTTACATTAATGCGTTAGCTGTAAGCTTATCAGGTTCAATGTTCCGTCTTACTTTCTTTGGGAACATGCAAGGACCTGACTCGGAACAGGGAGCTTACTAAAGCTATGTTCAATAACTGTGGGAAGTAGACAAGATACATAGGAAAGGGTATACAAAACCCTTTATTTTTCACTCTTTACAATAATTTCCGTACTTCGGAATACAGAGACCAACTACTTGTGGTCTGAACGTAAGAATATGAAAATATAACTAACTCTAACTTAAATTTGGAATAATCAACAAGGGCCTACGTGTAAGATTGGCCGGATATTAACAGGAAGCCGTATGTAGTAATAAGAACTGTTAACACTACAATACGTTTAAAATTATCTCGAGGATTAAACCTCTGGCCTGGAAGGCAAACAGCAACCGAGTAAAACTTCTAAGGCAAGCGGCCTGCTTCGACTAACTCCTTCCTCTCTCTAGCTTGGCAAAAAGCCACAACTTAAGTACTTGGCGTTCGCCAGACAAATTTTGCATAAATAAGTTAACGCTTTAATTCTGGCCGGAAGTAGAAAATAAGAAGTGATAGTAAAGATTTAAAATAAAATAAACGTTAGTAAAACTTAAGATCCTTACATACTTCCCGCCAGAGTTAATTAGTGTCAAACTGAGGTCTAAAACGACCTTATTGAAAACTTTTAGCTCTAGAAATCTAACGCGAGGCCAATCTTTTACAAACATTTCTCACTAGAAACTATAAATTAAAAAAAAAAAATGTTTTACAATAGCAGCTCCATGGACAACCAATTTTTCATCTGTACTGCATCTAAACAGGAGCTTTTATTCAAATCTGGTTCCTTCCAGAGATCTGGAAGGAAAACTAGTTTAATGAAATGTTACACAATGAAATGGCAAGTAACATATTTATATTTCTCTTAACATTCTTATTTCATTCATGACTATTTTAATTATCTCTCCACGTGCTCTCTGACATGTGTTGTAAAAGAACACCAAACACGAATGTGTTTATGTATATGTGTTCAACACTGCCTCCTACAATCAAAACACTAACGTGTTAAAATTCAACATAACCAGACCTCGTAACACACCCTATCTTCAACTCTAAACCCTGAGGTACTATTCTGAAAGTGGCTAACTCTGAAGTGTAGCGTCAGAGAGCCTAACTACATTCATTCAACCTTTAACACGTATTCACCATAATTTGGTCTTTTTCAGTCACACGAATAAGTTTAAAATTTTGGGCATTACTTTCACTTTTACCATTCCAGTATTTCTTAACATTTAAAATAACAGTTCACGTGCATATAAGAAATATTAACAGTTAAAATTTTGGCATTATTCACTTTTACCATATCACAGTATTCTTAACATTTAAAATAACAGTTCACATTCATAAAAAATAAAAACATTTCACATATACAGTACACATTGCATATAAGAACATATTACATGCGTTAATTTTACGCATTTAAAACATACATTAGTAGTACATTGTTAACTTCTATTCTTTCAAAGCAAGTGCCAATTCTTTCTACATTGAAATAACTACATTTCAAAAAGTCTTTCAGACTAAAACTTCTTTCTGCCAGAATGTTTTAAATAAAATTTATACAATAACTTTTTACAATATTTAAGTATTTACAAATTCCTATTATACATCAACTTTAGTTTTACGCGCGAGTAATTGAAAAACATAATACCAAAATCGGTAACAACTCATTTCTCGCCTTTTGGCGATAAAGGTAGACCTCACATGAGGTAAAACTTCTTGAAATCTGCCACTTGCAGTAAGAATGAAAGATTAACTTAAGTTTGCAAAGTAACATAAAATTTTACTTATCTTTGTAATATTCGGACATTCTTTTCTGAGCCCAGTCCTGGAGGTAGCGCAGATTTGGTTTGATTATCCTCCTTCTTGTACGGGCTCGCCCTTCAGTGCCTTCCTCTGGAAGCTTTCTTTTTCCTCCAGTTCGGTCACCCTTGGATACCTTCTTTTTCGCCTCTGCCTGTGGTCTTGGCCGTTTGAGGACAGCTGGTCTTGGCGGAACCGGGGACACTTCTTTCGCGTTCCTGCTTGGACCTCGTTGCTGGCCGTTCAAATTTTCTTGTAACTTTTCCTCCGCGCCGCTGGTGGCCCTTCCGCAGTTCGGCGACATTTGCTGCGGAGAGTCCTGTCCGATGAGTTGAATCTTCCGTTTGGGAGCCGGGTTATAGTTGCCGTTAATTTCTCCTGGCCTTCTTTTCATTCGTCGTACTTCTCCCTTCTTCATTCTGGGGTGTTCGTGAGCTCTTTTTCTGGACGGTGGAACAAAAAAAATGCTTCTTTTCAATTGCTCCTGCCTCCTAATGGCTTGTCCTTGTACTTGTCGTTGTTCCCACCTCTGGAGCTTGTGCCTGCCGGTGTCTGCCGTGCCGGATCCTGCAAAAGATCTTTGAAAAGATTTGCATTTTATTACGATCATAGTAGGGTTTTATTTGATCAATGTTTGCGGAGCAGGTTTCACCATTTCTGGCTTTTAACACCACTACAGCGTGATTTATTTTTTCTATGACATATGGTCCTTCAAAATCGTGGAAAAAATTTGGCAGTTTTTATCTTCTGGTGCTGAAGAAAGTGAATTGCTTAATTTTTAAACTTCATCCCCTACTTTATAAGTTACTCCCCGTCGTTTCAAAATCATAATAAAGTTTTCTGTTTTCTCTGTGCTACTTCAGTATTCTTTTTTGCTTCTTTATTAATTTTTTCTATATCACCCATTTTAAATTCTGGGGCTCTTTGTTGCACATAAAATAATTTATCTAACGGCGTTATAATCTTTCTGCCTAAAAAAACTCAGCAGGAGTTTTGCCCGTTGTATCATGTTTTGCGGTCCTAAGGGCGAAAGCAAATTCATTGACATAGTTCATCCCAGCTTTTATGAAAATTTTTAACATAACTACGGATAATTTTCACTATATTCTATTGACCCGTTCCGCTATATTTGATTGCGGCCGAATACGGGACCATTTTTAAATGACGTATGCCCAGTTTTTGGCATGTCTTCAAATAATTACTTACAAATTGAGGACCATTATCCGATATAACTTTTAGGGGCGCCCCGTATTTTTAAAATATATTTATTTAAAATAGAATCAGTAAATAATTTCGCGGAGGCTCGTTTTTTAAGGGAACAATTTCGGTCCACTTACTAAAAAATGATCAACCATAACAAGGAGATAGCAACTTTTATTTAACTGACTTTTTGGGAAAGGGCCCAATAAATCGATGCCAAATTATTTCATTTGGAAATTCGGATAATTTATATACATTTAGAAACCCGGCCGGGCGGAAGAAATTAATATAATTAACTGCTTGACATGTTGGGCAGGACTGGACATACGCCCATTGTTAACTTTTGCAGTTCAGGAAAATAGACTGCCTCGCGTACGCGTTGTATAGTTTTTCGAATACCAGCATGAGAAGCTAAAGGCTTGTCATGGAGCTCTTGCAGGATATTTAATCTAAGACTAGCTGGGATAACAGGTCGAAATTCGTTGTTGGAATTTGTAGTTTTTGTTGTATAAAATAATAGACCATCTATTAGTTCGTAATGGGCCCGCCCTATTTCTTATCGCCACAATATCTTGGTGGCTAAAATTTTCAGGATCCTTTAAATACTCATAAATGTTTCCAAACTCAGGATCCTTACCCAGTTCGGTTATTACAGTTTCTCGGGAATTTATTGTACATGCTGTGAGCATTGCCACCTTTACAGTATTACCTTCTTCATCTATTTTAATTCTGGATAGGGCATCTGCTACGATATTTTCCTTTCCGGGGGTATGTTTGATTACCAAGATTATACTCCTTGTAGCTTGAGTGCCCATCTTATTAACCTTGGGGATAAATTTTTTCCTGAGTACAATCTAGTTACCCGCCGCATGATCAGAATACACTGTTATTGGCGAACTTCCAAAATAGACTCGGAACTTTTGCACTCCTAACAGAACTAACTGCAAGTGCCTCTCTCTCAGTCGCGGATGTATCTCGGTATTTTCTTTGAGTTTGATTTAAATTTCTACTAAAAAATGCCACGGCGCTGCTGATTTTGGGAAAGTACCGCTCCTACCGCATATAATCCGAAGCATCCGCTGAAATTTCTAAATTCTCATCCTTTTCAGGAAATTTCAACACAGGGGCTTGCGTTAATGCTTGCTTTAATTTTTCGAACGCACTATTGGCTTCGGCCGTCCACGAGAATCTTGCCTTTTTGCTTTTTAATTTTAACAATGGTTCAGCAATAGCTGCAAAATCTTTTATAAAGGACCTATAATATGAACAAAGTCCTAGAAAAGAAGAGAGCTTCTTTGCCGTGTTT